AACTGTCTTAATTAATCTTCATTAATAGAAGAAAAACAAAGAAAATGGTAACGTACTCACGAAAAATGGCAAAAAATGTGAGTGCGTTACCATTTTCTTTGTTTTTCTTCTATTAATGAAGATTAATTAAGACATTTTACAACTTTAAAAACTCTTATATCTTGTGGAGCAAACAATTCTCTACAAAGTCGTATGCTTTAAGAATATTTGCTCAATCGTCTTCACCCTTTCAAAACCCTTTTTCAAATATCCCCAAAATCGGCTTTTTTGGGCTCCTGGTAAAATAGCTGTATTTTCATAAATAATCAGCTTTCAGAACCGAGACATTTCTCATTTTGTAGAGAAATATTTATTCTACTAGATCATCTATTTCGAATCTGAAATGGGTTCCTGGCTTTATTGAAATGTGTGTATGTAATGTTAAATGTGTATTTGATGATGTAAATGGAATATCATCATCGTCATTATCATCGTCGCGATCAGCATTTTGATTTTCATGGTAATTCAAAAGATAAGCTCTGCATCACAGAAACTTTAAAATGGAAGAAAAGTAAATATTTGGTATGGTTCGCATAAGAATGAGAAAAAAAACAACTGATATTCGATAAAATAGTGATAGCAGCTCATGAAAAACATTCGTCTATCTCCGTGTGTTTCAGTAGTGGGTGCTCATTATCAACGAATTTCTCTAATCATACAATAGTTAGCCTTCAAACTCAAGTGAACATGATATTCATAGGCCACAGTGGACATTTCTGACTAGAGCTGGCAGACATCAGCTGATGTCAGGTTTGGGCAACTCTGCTGACTTTCAACTCCAACTCCACTCCAACTCGTTGACGAAACTATTTGAGGTTTCGTAGGTCATTACCGAACGATGTAGAGTTTAATAGGTTTTAGCCAAACCATTTTAGGTTTCATAGATCAAAAGGTTTCTACATTTGAAACGAATTAGAAACCTCAAGCAGAAAAAGGTTTCGTCAGAAACCATTTTTTTTAGAGTGTAGGACTGCTCAATGATCTGGCCTAGAAACCTCAAAAGTTATTGAAATAGAGGTTCTCAACCATCGGGAAACTTGTGGCAATGTTTCTTTGCAGAAAAAATTAAAAACCTAGTGAAAACCGACACTAGAAAAGAAACTATTACATATGTAGTAAGAAAGAACGCCCCTGTGGTTTAGTACTCCGTCGGTTGTTTTATGCTTTTCGAATGTATTTTCGGATGTTTGCTTAATTCCGTTTTGCATTGATGATCTCAAAGTATGTGTTTTTGCCACCCATAAACAGTGTGGATGTTGCAAGAGAACTCATTGAAATTGTAATGAAACCTTCGTTTTATAAGCAAGAGAAGACAAAGCTACTTGAATTTTTGGAAGTATCCAACATGACTTTTATCTTGCGTTTTGCGCCATTTCCCTTTTACCTTTTTATGTTTTGTTGCTTAATTTTAAGATACTGTCAGTTTTGATTTTCAGTTACCGCTCGTGGCTAACTAATTAATACAAAAACTCTACTAGATGCAGTTTCTCACGCTGATCACGAATATGTAGTTTGTTTAGTATTTTGAATGTCATTTGCTGTCAGAAACTCCCAACACGTTGGAAACCCCTGGCTTCCTAGAAAATCCAGAGATTTCATCCGATTTCGTTGAAACTCGAGGGGTATGATGGCTGAATGAGCAATGATCTTCCTAAAAGTTTGAGGTCAATCCAAGCCTTTGTCTGATGGAACTGGCCTTCGTGAAACGGCATTGCTCTTGTACATTGTATGTTCAAGATTTCTCTCCCAAAACTCTGTCAGAAATCAATGAAAGGGTGTTATTCTGAATCTGTATCATGAGTTCTATCCAACCATGTATGTCTCAGTCAGAAACAAAATCCATGCTACCCTTTTGAATTTTGTGCACCTTACAAAAAAGTCTTATAAAGCGATCGTTCACTTTTTCTTCATGACAAATTAAGTGAAAGAAAATCCTCTTATTTCAATTTAAGCACACCTAATTAATACTTAAACAGTTGTTCTGATAGGTATCAGTACTAGCTCCCCACCATCGTGGAATTAAAATGCCTTTCGAATTCAGTGCAAAAAATTGTATTAGTCCACTTAGTGCAGCCGCTTGATCCGTTGCAATCGATAGCAAACGAATGTAACGCCCATATATCCATTTACTGAGACAGACATTACAGATGAATCCGATAATTAACCATGTGAAAGTAAGCCCGTTTTGAGATTGTATCCAGATGACACCAGGAACAAATACAATTGGAATATGGATGTATTTCAACCAAGGAGTTCGATGTGAAAGTCTTTTATCCAAGAACCAAGCTGCTATTGTCAACATAGGGCCAATCAGCATCATGTACAGTAGCGGATAATAGCGACTCAAATGCCCTATTACTCTAGCTGGTCCTAAAGAAAAGTAAAATTATAATACGATACTTCGGTTATCAGCCCAAAAAAGATTGATAGAAAACTTCATTCAACAAAGAATATAGAATATTGGGTGACTTCTTGGGAGTCGTCTTTCGAGAAACTCATAAACATGCAAGGCAAAAAAGGCTCAGTCTTTCAGCAGAGGTATAGGAAACGTCGACATTAACCAGAAAACTTTTCAGCTCGATCCGACGCAATTTTCTACATTTTGACACACCCACAAAGCTGGAAGTTTGGAGAAATGAAAAGTGAACCGTATTTTTGATCTGTATGATTTTTAAGAAACAAAGGTCGTCATTCAGTTTAGAATAAAATTCTGTAACAGGAATAGTGAAAATGCTTTTAATCACTCACTCTTCAGCACATTAGACACCTAAGAGGTTGGATAAAAGTTCAAAACTAGATATACCTCCGGTGGCTTGTCGGTCTTTCTAAGACAAAATCTTTTCTGATGCGTGTGTATAGTTTCTCGAGAACCGATCCTGAAGTATTATCAAGGCTTTCTTCTGATGTTCTCGTGATATTGAACTAAAACAAAGTAACACGGAGCGCCTGTTCGCTTGCGTCGTTTTAATTGATAGTGACTGAAGAAGCATTATTTTTAATCTTGTGCGAAATATCAACTCTTACGAGCCACTACAATCCGAGATCAGCTTAAATTTTGTAGCGATAGCTATGTGGAGCAGAGTGTTGGTTAGTAAGCAAATAGGTTTCATTGAAAAGTCTTCTCCTGAGTAAAAATGGCTGCCTTCTAGTGTTATTTCTCCGGTCGAAATTAGTTCTATCGAATGATACGACAAAAAACACTTTTATCTTGATTGCACTTACCGACAAGGGAAAATAGAATAGCAAGCGCAAATTCACGTGCTGCTTCATCTACGCATAGTTGTTCCGGTTTTGAGCGATCACACAGTGTTGGTGTTTTTATTGTCTTTCGTATGGAAAATGCAGTGAGCGAGCATGTAATAGCAGAGATTAGTGAACAGATAATAATTGCAACAAACATAACTCGAGGTGGAATTTTCATAAAGTGACTAAGCTTTAGTACCACAAGGAAATTAATTGCTGTAAACGTCGAACGAGGGATATACATGTTGAAAACAACGGCTTCTGTTGGTGCATTAACAAAGAATAAGGAGGCGAGTAGATTGCTGGCTGGCATTGTAAACAAGAATTCCGCTAAACCTGTATTAGCATACAGTATACCGGCCGGTAAAATTAATAAAAATGCAACTGAAGCAGCAATTAGTACATAGTACCACGGCATGATTTCCGCGAGATGGCAAATGATAGTTGAAAGAACTGTTACTAAAATGAATAAAACAGCATACCACCATTCAGGTGCTTCCTTGTAATTAGACATGAGACGACAATGAATATCATTGTTACGGTTATTTAGAGACGTATGCAAATGCTTCAGAATATCTTTACCGTGATATAGAATCGTGTGGACGATTATTGCAGGTATAAAAGCAAGATGACAAGCATAAGAAACGATCATTGTGAGAGGTAACCTGACTGGTCCGTATTTTTCATAAGCTGTTTCATTCAAACGATATTGTGGCAGGTTACTTAAAGAAGCAGGTATATCTACAACTTCAGCTATTCTGTAAATACTTCCATCGACAGAACGACGAACAGAGCCCTGAATCGGCAGTATTTTAAAATTCCATACATCCGTGTACCATAACAGAGGGCTAATAATCCAATTTATACAGATAAAGCCCACAGCGATATTTGCCTGCACCCATCCAGGCACAGCGTAGGGTGATTGTAAATACGTTTGATACCAGATTGAGGTTAAGCTAAGCGAACCGATCCCGAATTTATAAAATCCAGTTAGCTGATTCAAGAGAAAGTTGTTCGGATTTATGAAGCAAATCCAAGCAAAGTTTGTGAGAATTGGAAAAATATATTGAGGAAACCAGCTATAAACGAACTGACATAAAAGTGCAACATAGAAAAAATGAAGACGTCTAGCTTTCCAGCGTGAGACAGAGCTCGTGAGCTTCTCAACCGTCTTGTCATTGTGAAGAGTGCGAAAAAGAATTATCGATGGCATCATAGTTGGATAGTTCATAGAAGAAGGCCAGACGAGAAATCGTCGAAGGAGACCTAAACAGACCAACAACAATGATTATCCCCGTCTTTTTCTGAACGTTTCGGGAGACTTGTTTGACTTCAAATGCCTACAAATTGAAAAGTTATTTGATGGATTATCCGCATCTTGTTCGAGTCTCTTTTTACGAGATCTGTCTTTTACAAGTTTTCCCACGAAACACCATTACTACCAAAGTTATATGTACCAAAAAGGCTTATCTCTGTTTTTCCCGCCAAATATCGAATGTAGAAGATACTTCTACCAATTTATCGATGTTAAGGAAGACCCTCGGAGATGGCTGTCACTCTGCCGAACCCCCATGAACTTTTAAGGTCAGGTGAGGTTCATTTAGATAGATTAAGGAAGGGTGGCCTCGGCGCAGAAGCTGTACAATCATACCGATGCGAGGACAATAGGCGTATCAGTAGTAGGCAGAGCAAGACTGTGCCTGCTACTGATACGCCTATTGTCCTTGCGCTGCCTACTACTGATACGCCTATTGTCCACTCATCGACATGATTGTGCATCGTTTCTAAAACAGCAAGTTCTTGCAACGCAGGAGATCTCGATTCTGTTTACCCCACATCGAGGTCAAACATTGCAATTTTAGTCACGAAGCATGTCTCGGCTCACCTACCACAAAAATTAACGAATTACAACTTCAATAAAACGAAGACCTAGACGATTTTGGCAAAAGTGCACATTCAGAAAACGCCCCCGCAGTTCTGGCGCTTTTTATGGTACCAATTACGGAGATCAAAACCCTACGGATCCTTTATGACACTCATACTTGGCGCCGCCTCTGATGCCGCAAAAACATATAACTGACCCATTTTTCTTTGCTCAGTAAAGACGACAATGCGGTGGCCACCTTCTACCGCTGGAAGTAGTAGAAAAACTATATATGCCCTTGGTTCCGGCGGTTCCAGACTATACACACCCAAAAACATTGTTGATCGCTAAAAAAGGATTGCCTACGCTTTCTGAATGTTCAAGGTGTGATGTGATACATTACTTGATTCTTCCGTTGCTGTGAGAGCAAAGACGCTTATAGAGAGGAATACACTAGTTTAGTATATCTTTCTCTCAAACCCAAGATTCGTCACTTGCTCGTCGCCTCTTGACAAGAAAGGGTGTCAATATTTACACCAGTTAATATTTACAGTTGAGAGGTGTTTTCAGTTCTTGATCAAAAAAGGTTCGATAAACACTCTCTTCCTTACCGGTCGCTCCTGCTGAAATCAATTGGAAAGAAATTAGAAAACCCAATAGTAACAGAAGACTTGACGGTTTCTTCATATATATATCGTGTACATCGATAGGAGTTGGACGGAAGACGATGCGCGTAAATATTACCATCGTGACTATCAACACATGCTCCTTAATAGTAAACGGACCAGGATTTAATGAAAAATGATAATTACTGTGGGGCCATATATGAAACGATCGTTTCGGAAGTACAATTGCAAATAATTTGCCAATGAAAAAAGATAGGAGAAACATGTGTGTGTCGGCAAAGGTTATAGTATATGGACGGTAAAAAAAGTACGCGTTCAAAGCAGAGAACAAAATAACAAAGGATAGGCCAATAAACCATGCTCTAAATGTTGAACACAGCATTTTTTGATCGTCTTCATTTGATACAATATCATCAACTTCTTCATAGGAACTATGTTCAGCTTCAATATATTCATTATGCGGAACCATATTTGGTGCCTGATTATAATTAGGTACAGACTGCGCACCGAAATTTGAAGCAGATGTATAGTTTGCCATAGTTTCTGTTTCTCTAACGATGCAGATTGTGCAATATATGTATATACTCTCTGATATTTACCTGTGTTTTTCTTTAACTTATATTGGTTTCTTCCAACTATTTTTCATATATGAGTGACTTATCGATTTTACGCTTTATTGCTACATCGTTTGTCTGTTATTGCTGTAAAGTACTTTTAGAAAAATTTGTCATTACTGAATCTGTTGTTTCAAATGTTTTTTTCTGCCTTTTTTCTAACTGACTTCCTTTCTTTGTGTTATTTCTACACACATTCATCATACTTTGATTGTATATCAAAATACTGTCAATAAGTTTAGAATGTGTACAGAAAAAAAGAAAGTGCAAGAGAATCAGTACGAGTGATTGATCAGTTGATTTGCGTCTACTTTCGTGAAACGTATATTTTTTATAAGTTTCAAAAATAATTTTCAGTGTAAAACTTCTGTAGCTGCCATCTGCTCCAAAATGTGCACTTAATAAACTGCGATGAGATTTTTTAAAAATAGCATCATACAAATAACCCCGAATTTTTTTAGGTTTTGAACGTGGGATAGCGTACTTACTGTGCTGATGACACTTTGTCTCTATTACATTACATCTTTCTATCAGTCTACGCATTAGCACAGTAAGTATGCCATCCCGCGTTCAAAATCTAAAAAAATACGGAGTTATTTGTATGGTGCTATTTTTAGAAAACCTCATCGCAGTTTATTAAGAGCCATTGCACGTAAGCCACGACCTATTACAGCGGAGTAGTCTTCAATCGGTGTTTTCAAAACTTTTTCAAAGTAGGGGGCTCTTGTAGACAAAACATTTTAATGAACTTTTGTAAAAGGCGTAAATCAAAAAGTTGTATCGTTGCTGAGATATTGATATGTTACGAAAAGCCCCGAAAAACGTAAATTCCGCCATCTTGAAAATTTGTCAACTTTAAACTCTTGTAATTCAGTAACAACGGATTACTTAATCTTGGAGATTTCCCCATAAATAGTAGACAGTGTGAGCTACAAAAGCATGCAACCGCGAGCTCAAAACATGCTTTCGTTATTTTGTAATAGATGGCGCACTAAAAGCCCAAATCCAGAAAAGCCTGAATTGTGCTGTAGCACCCATCTGAAACAAAGTCGACCGTAAGACTTTCAACCATATTTCCAAATAGATTATATGCCAAGGTATATTTGGTTAAAGTCTGACGGTCTCCGGTGCTTTCGTTTTCAATACAGACGCCTTGAAAGTTACAATTTTGCCCAAAAATGACCATTTTGGGCGATTTTTAGAAATGATTTTCTTCATGGAAACGGGGCAATTCTGAAGCCCCTTAGTATACTACTGAAGTACACCAAGTGTACTATCATAGTCCATCCTGCGATTTGTGAGTTTCGCTAAAATGGCTTCGGGAGCTCGGTCGGGGGTACCGAGTTCTAGAGGCTTGCTTCATACAGCTGTATTTATCTATAATTTGTGGATTTTTCAGCAAATATTTAGAACATCAAATTAAGAATAGAATACGGTGAAATCGAATGCCATAATGAGGCCAAAAATCTTTTAGATGAATAATAAACAGAATAATTTGTTAATTTTTTATGATATTGCTGCTGATGTACATGACCGAACGCGTCTATTTTTTGGAGAAAAAACACACGAACCGTTGCTCGTATGAATTATTTTAGTATTTTATTCTATTTCGTCACATTTCGTTTTAATTTAAAAAATTCAGAATGTCATAATAAATGAGCCTGATATAATACAAGAACTGACTGGTCTAGATCTAGAGTAACTAAATCTTCTTTTCATTCTATGAATAATTGATTTTATGCTGAGAGAAACGAATTAAAAGTCACAAATAATTCTTTACTATTTATAAACAAATAGAGCAACAAATATGTCAAAGTAATATCTAAATTTCTGATCGATATAAGAATAATCTAATTCAGTCACGTGAAAGAAGTTGTTCCATTTTTTGCTTCTTTAGATCATGAGATGCATCACTAGAGATGTGAGTGATCAAGCGTTTTTGATTACGGTAACGGCTACGGTCACAAGAATTTTTTCGGACTAGCGATGACTGCGGTAGTCATAAGAAAACGTTCTTTTTAAAACTTTTATCTATTCTTTTCTGGAAAACATTTTTATCCTTGCATTTATACATTTTCTACTGCAGAACTTTCTTTCCTAGTATGTCGTACGGAGACCAGAATTTTGTAAAAACGTTCACGGTCATGGTAGAACAAGCACATCGTGACCGTTACCATGACGGGTACGCACATCTCTACGGGTCGCAGTTCAATGACTCCTTACCATATTTCACACTTAATGAATGTACACATAAATATCCCCTCCGTCTAGGTTTACATTAAAAAAAACAGAACGAAACTGGTCGCACAAAATTAACTAATATTGCTAATATCAAACATCTCAAAATTATCATGCAAAAGTGGAATACAATTGTATTTACAATGCAGTATCCATTTTTTTTACTTCCGATGCTCTTAAAGTAAAACGCTTTTCCTTCTAAATTTTAAATCTTTTGATTATGTCGATCTATGACCTTTAACATCAAGACACTAATTAATATTTATATGCAAAGCAAATTGTTAAATAACATTCACTGTTGATAAATTATTATTAGTTCTATTCTACTTATGAGTGAAATATCAAACTGTTTCAATTCAGTAACATTAGCGAGCAGTTTCACTCTAATTTATTAATGTAAACATATAGCCGCGTCTATCCCCACCTGAATATTTGAAGCATTTTGTGCCACCTCGGAGGTTCGATCTCTCAGTGTACCACCTGAAAAGTTAATTTTCTACAGAAACGTTTTTTTTCTAAATAATTAAAATAGATGAATTCAGTATTTTATGAAGTACCGGATGGGGTATCAAAAATGAGCCTCTCGGTATTTTCTGTTTTTCTCCTTCTTCTTTAAGACCCTAGGATTAATATTTTTTTACGAGCTGTACCGCGAAATACTCTACAAAATCATACTTAAACATTAATTTCAGAAGTTCAGTCAAGGAAACTAAGCAAATTATACGAAAGGCGAAATAAATGAAAACTTTCTAAACTCAAAAACGAGTTCTTGTGCTAATCTTTTGAAAATAAGAAAAACTGAATTAGACATTTATTCAACTGAAATCTAACATTCGTAAGTTTGAAGTCATTGAAATTGACATCGGAGACAGTTCATTTTTTAACAGAATTCTCTATCAATAAAATTTTACTTGGGAATAAAACATATACTAAAATATACAGAAAAAGATAAAGAAAAGAAATTTCTGTAGAATATAGATACACAGAAACCAAGGTTTTGGCCCACTGTCAATTAGGAATAGCTAGCTGTTTAAATGCGTTTAGGATTAAAAGATGATACATTAAAATACATTTCTCTCATATGCTTTTCACAAATTCGACGCGTTGAATGCGTGAATGTATTTGTACGTCTTTCATATACGATTTTCAATCAAATCGACGCGTTTAAACGCATTCTCTTCAATTTCCAACAACTCAATGCTTTTAAGCAAATTAAACCACTTTTCATTTACAATGCGTTTTAACGGTTTTCATCAAAAACGCGTTAAAACGTTCTCTGTGTATATGAAAACCTATTAAAACTCGTCAAAAAATTAATTAAACCCGTTTAAACGTTGGCTGTTTATCATTATAATGAGTTTAAATGCTCTTTTTTTAACTTTTTTAATGCTAAACCCGTAAAAATGCACCGAAAACTCCGTTTGGAAAGGTACAACGGCCATAACACGTCCGAAAGTTTAACAAATTTTGTGCTCTGTATACTTGTTGGGTTGAGTCCAGCGTATGCAGATCAACGTATCCTTTAGATTCAGTTTTTTAATTTTTTTGTTCGACGAATACATGAGAATCTTATACAAGTTGCTGTGTTTGAAAATATATAATTTCAATGATGCCAAAAATTTTGACTCGTTTAGAAATGCTGGACAATTTCAACAGGTGATACTAAGTCAAACAATTTGACAGGCATTATTTTATAAGCATTCAGCGATGGATGGATGTCACGTTGATCGTATCTGATGCTGTAATGAAAATTGATGATGTCGATTATATCTTGTTTCTCCGTGAAAACCCAATTATCAATCATTTTGTCTAACAATAGAGTCAAATTCATTCAAATTCAAATGTTCATTTATGAATGAGAGGAAAATAAGATACGTGTGCTGAACTCGTACTTTTAACCTATTCGCAAAAACACTATTTTTACGGAAACCACATCTTTTGTAATAACTTTTGTTTAACGACATGGCAATCAAAAAAGCATTCCAAGTTTTTCTATAAAAAACAGCTTCTGGAGCTTCTTCTAGATGTTTTTGAAACCTTAACCAATATCTATACACATAGTCTCTTAAGGAGAATTCCCGACTTAAAGCTAACGTTGTACTCATAACCTCCTCGGAAGCAAACAAGACGAACGTCATATAAACATGTTCTATTTTTTCGCGCTGTTTTTCTGAATAATAAAACCAAGTAGCAAAAAGCCAAGAGAAGTGCGGAAGAGAAAATGCACAAAACAATTTTCTTCGAATTTGTATTTCGTTTTTCGGTATCGTATGGAAAATTTGCAACTGTGCGGAGATTTTTTCGTGTCAACGTGTCAAGTGAATAGAAAGAGAACAGAAAGATATACATATGCTATCTCCTTTATTTGCTAGTTCTCTAATATATATCTATATTTAAAGAAAGCTAAAACTTCGTTTGTTTTATTATAGTTTGTTCTACATGCACAGACACACACATACAAGCCAATTTTTTCGTTAAAAAGCTTTACATCATTAGAATAATGTCAACGGAACATATAACAGTAAGACCGATAGTGAAAGTGATTCTGCCAGAGCAGCCTACAGAGAAGTAAAATTTCGTAATGGGGTATCACGATGTTAATCGTCATTAGAACATCCACGGCAAATTGATGACAGAAATAATAAAGGTGAAAAAGTTATACTATACAAACATATCAATAAACAAGGTCAAAACGTTGATATAAGAAAAGATAATCTAGTTGATTACAAAACAGAACCAAAACAGGGGCCACATTACAATGCTGGTCTAGCAGATGAAAAACTTAAGCAACATCATAACTGTTCAAATATAAACAAGAAATAATAGACATTTTGTGTTTATCTTTTCTTTAGTCTCTTTTATCGATATTCAAGAAATAAAATTTTATACTAGATATGAGTTCATTGTCAAGCTTATCAAAAGCTATTTCAACAAAGCCTACTAAGAGCCTTTAACAAAAGCTATCAATGTCTAATTGAAGAATTTATCTTCTCATAGTAGCGGTAGCGAGAGAGAAAGTGTGTCCAGGAGGTGTGAAGAAAGAGAGCGCGTAGTACGAGTTGATAACTCTCCAACGTTCTTTATTTAAGAGTAGTGGTAGATGCACTCGCTTAATATCGAATTCAAACATCTGTTTTTGCGTTAATGGCAGTGACACCACAATGCCAAAAATACGATACCTCATATTCTACATCTACTTGTTTCGATCTTTGTTGACAAAGAACATCTGATAATAGTCTAGATCACAACAGAGTGACTCACCATGTGTACGATCAAACTCACGTGTTAGTCGTTTTATTAGTTCTATTTGATCTCTTTATTCGTCTCGTGGATACAACCAGACTGATATCGTATTTGTTTAAAATCTCCCACTAGTGTAGCTAAGCGTAATTCTACAAGATTTGTGTATCTCATTTTGTTCCGAGAAAAATATGACGCGTGATACCTACACTTTTTGATAGAAAACAGAATAACTGAATCTATGCTGTTACTCACTCAAACATAAATGAAATAAACACAGTAAACATGCAATGATTGTAGATATATTTGTTTTCTGTCATTTTTTATTCGTATAGCTGATTGCTGAATTAGATTCTCTTTTGTCCGGACTTCAGTATATGTTGCCTTTTAATTTGTCTGAAAGTTATAATGTATGGATCGAATGACAACAGCAACCAACATATCAGCAGATAGAAATTATTAACTTCAGATGTATACGTTGCGTTGTCATACTTTCTCTGCGATTACTGTGCGACTTTCCTTTGTTTTGTTTATCTGCTATCTCAAAATTCTCATAATTATGGTAATTTAGTATAATATCCCACTTGTTTTTCGAAAGTATAAAGCATATATTGGTGTTTGATTATAACTAGAGAAAATGTGCAATGGGTCGTCAATCTGGCATTTAGATGCTCCGTTCACTCATCATCGACAATCGACAGATATTATTTATTCTCTGATCTTTGTGCTATATATACAACAATAGCATACTCGAGAGCTTGTCAGCATAATTCACTGTCATTAGTCTGTCATTGTCATACAAAACAAGGTTCATTCTCTTCCAACAAGAACGATACTTTAATTTATTTTTGCTGCCCTAGCACTTTTCATCAAACAACAAGTCTTGTTCAAAACTGAAAATAAATAGAAATACGAGAATCAATAATAGGCAGTAATAAACTGAAATAAATTTCGGAACAACAATAATATTTCTCAGAAAGCAACTTCCTTAAATTAGTCAAAACATTATATTCGAGATCTTGGTTTTTTCGTAAACCTGTGAAAATCACTGCGACAACGCTAAGAGATGAGAGTTTTGGCTGTATTAAGATTGTTGAGAGAGTTTATTACATTAGCGCAGTATCCTTGATTATCCATTTTGTATAGGATGCCCATGGCACGGTGTATAGTGAGCGACAAACACATTGTGTGCTATCACTGTTGTTCGAAAGGCCTTCGTGTGTGTCCGTTGTGTAATGGGACGCTCGCTACAACTATGCCTATCACTGAATCGCTGGTGAACGCACCCCACGAAGGACGAGGTAACTGGAAAGATTCTGCTTCCCAACGGACCTCGCTGATCAGATCACTACTGAGTCACTCAGCAGCCGAGCGCTTATGGTGCCATGGGTAAAATATGTCGCGTCAAGGACAAGTATACCGTCACGTGCGTTGCCATAGCGGCGACGAGCGAGGCGGAGGATCCACTAATTCACGAAATTGCCCTGTTCCGACCTCTACTACATACGCCTCATCTAGTGAATGTTTACGACGGTGTTCGCTTGCTACTGCATGGCATTGGCATTGTCATAAAATGCAGCAATATGACGGGCCATCGCTCGTCGCAGCCCTTGCAGATGGTTCGACGGTCGTCCTTGGTCTATCCATAATCGAGCATAAACGCATTGCTCTGGGCTTTGCCCAAGGTCTTGGCGAACACCATTTAGCCCAAATTGTCCATCGTGAGTTCAAAATGGAGACTATCCGTC